CACACACGTGCAGCGGGCAGGCAGAGTGGCAGCTCACTGGCCACGTAGCAAGATCATCAGGCTGGCAGCACCTGTTTTGGGGCTCACCATACTTTGGGGTAAACAAGCGGGATTCACGAGCCTTGGCAAACAGCCAAGAGTTGAAGTAAACAGCACGAGGTTTGGCAGCCAGCCAGGGCTCCATCTTTGGCTGGCTCGGCTGTGCTCGCTTCCCACAAGTTCCCACCTAGTTCTTCTAGACCTTTTCCTTCAGTGAAGGGCAGGCTTTGGGCACATTGTGGACCCAAATGTAATATGTGAAAGAATTCAGACAACTCCCCAGTGTTTGAAATATCATTTCTTTAATTTTTACTAAAAAGCTATATTGAAACCCCAGAGGCTTAAAGAGGGAGAGATTACACAACTTGAGCTAGAACCTAGGTTTTGCTTTCACTATCACTAATTTTGTTTTCCTATCAGCAGAGATTTTTCTGAGCACTTTCTTTTTATGAGGTGCTGAGTCATAGAGTGCAGTCGTTAGAGGAGCTGAGAGGGCCTCTCCCAGGTGCACATGCAAATCAGTGTCCCATTGCATGTCACAGATACTTCAAAGATGTACAAAAGGCAGCCATCTAGCTGGGAGGCCAAGGACACCCTGAGAGATGAGGAAGACAGTGCAGTTCACTGGAGGCCTCAGCAAGATGTTAGGATGAAGGCTTGGAGGTAACTGGTTGAAAGGGGCAGGCAAGACTTGCTGGGCTTCTTGGGCTGCTTCCTCTTCATCCTGGAGGGGAGGGAGGCAGAGGCTTCTGGTTAGTACCAGCTCTATCACTTATCTCTTTGTTCTGTGGACAAGGGACGTCTTGGGGTCTCAGTGTCTCATCTATATATAAGATGATAACATGTGCTTCATAGGGTCAGTATAAGGATTCAAAGGCACCTTTTCCATTTTGAAGAATCTGATGCCAATAGTATTCAGCACAGTGCCTGGAAAGTACTCAGTAACTATTTGCTATTTTATTTATTTGTTATTATTTATTTATTTTTAGTTTATGTGTATGAGTGTTTTGCTTGAATATAAGTACATCCATGTGTGTAATGCCTGCAGAGGCCAGAAGAAGGCATTGGCTACCCTGGAACTGGTGTTACGGACAATTGTTAGTTGCTATGTGCATGCTTAGAACTAAACCCTGGTCCTCTGAAAGAGCAGTTAGTGCCGTTAGCTGCGGAGCCGTTTCTCCAGCCCCACTGTTTGCTATTTTGTTATTATTGTTTCATCATAATGACTGTTATTAAACCAGTGGAAAATTTGAACCAAGCAATTTGGATTTTCCATTCTGGAACAGTGTTAATCATAAACTGGAGAGAGAAAAGAGTGGAAATAGGGAGAAGTCCAGGAAGTAAGAGCTGACTTCTTAGAGTAGAGGGGTAGACTCTGGAAAGGAGCAGGAAAGGCTGGTGGGCATGAGGCAGCTTCAGGGGCAAAAGACAGGCTCCGGAGAAGGATGAACATGGAGGACAGGGGAGGGTGAGGTGGGAAGTGTGTGACGTCTGCCACTCTTGTCGGTTGTGTTGTTCATAGAAGAAACAAAAAACGGAGAAGTGTGTGCTGTATGTACGCTGAGTCTGAAGGTCGCTTGGTCCACACCAGTGAGATACCACTGAAGAGGAAATACTGGCTGAGTTTACACAGGAGTCACTGGCCTATAGCAGTGCAAGCCCTGGGTAGTGATGGATCCCCTAGTGGTCCTTCTTCATCCAGAGGTCCTTTGCCTGCTCTGGTTATATTCTTTAAAACAAGTCCCATGATGGTTATTCTATTTTTGAGGAAGGGTCTCATGTGTCCCAGGCTAGCTTTGAGCTCTCTATGCAGCTAGGATGGCCTTGAAACTTCTGATCCTCCTGCCTCCACCTCCTAGTGCTTGGGGTTACAGGTGTGTACCCCCCTCATGGTTTATGCAGTACTAGGGGTGGAACCCAGAGTTTCATGCAAGCGAGGCAGGTACTCTATTGACTGAGCTACATCCCTGGCCCCTGTGATATTTAGTTTTAATGACTATCTTTGTAACCATAAACATGAGTAAAATAAATGCAAAGTTTGTTGGGTTCTTAAGATTCTACATGTCCCTGCTATTTATTCTTGTCTGGAAAAAGGGAGAAACTCCACTTCCTGTCCCCCCTTTTTGATAGTGTCAGGAAATCTGCTCATCTACTCCTAAGTCTTTTCCAGGCCAGAAAGCTGTTGAGATTGGGGTCCCCCTTGGTCAATGCTTCCACCATTGCCCGCTAGTACTGTGGTTCTCCCTCATCCTGCCCATGTCATCCTGTTCCCTTCAAGGACCCTTTTCCATCTGATCCCGAATGAGTGCTTAGAGGGCAGAGTCCGTCTTGGAAATTAATACTGTGATTTCCGCCTTCATGAAACGTCTTCCCACAGCTCAGATTTAGGCACTGGAGTCATCTGTGTGCCATCATCACTTATGTTGTCTTTCTAGGGGTGTGGGTTGATCTTCGCTACAGAGATGTTTATCTTTCACCAATGAATTCCTTTTTTAAGATTTATTCCTATTTTTAATTATGTCTATATGTGTATGTTTCTGTGTGGAAATGTACAAGCAGGGGTTTGAGGAGTCTTGAAGAGGGTGGTGGGTCCCAAGAGCTGGAATCAGGCATTTGTGAGCTGCCTGATGTGGGTACTGGGGGATGAACTTGTGTCCTCTGCAAAAGCAAAGCCACCTCTCCAGCTCCTGAATTCTGGTTTTGATTTGGATTTCTGTTTACCTTTTTCTATGTCTATATTTGAAAAGCATTGCTTCACATTCTGATCACAATAGGGGCTGTAAGAAAAAAGTAAAAATATAAGTATTTTGTTTCATCTACTTTATTAGTGATAACAACAGCAAAGACAAGGGAATAGGGCCTCGGGGTTTGAGCCTGTGACTGCGCTCCATCCTTGGAGAATGATTTTGTGTTT